GGATCTCAATTTTTACGGCAGCTCTAGCCGCTTTCTGTCGCAAACACAACATCATTTGTGACGTCAAACACAACATCAAATCAATACAAGTGAAGCAACATTGGTGTACGGCTTGCAGCCCGTTAAAACAGTTTTCCTTGCAAGAAGTTTTCAGGAAATGGACAGCTTACGGGGTGGGTTTGGGCTTCTTGGACAGTTTGTCCTTCTCTTTCTCCCGCTCTTTCTCCCGCTCCTTGTCCCGCTCTCTCTCCTTGTCCTTGTCTTTGTGCTTGGACTTATGCTTGTGCTTCTCCTTCTCTGGCTTGGGCAGGATCTCCTTCGGGGGCTCCTTGGAGGCGACTGGCTTGGATGCGATTGCCGGCTTGATGGCGATGTTCTTCTGAGAAACAAAAACACCAAAGCCCACAGAAGAAGCAAGTTAACAACCCGTGTTCAGCACAGCAAGGAAAAGATGGGGGTGAAATCTTTACAGCCCTGGACACTGCCTGGAGTTGTAGCTGGACGGTGGGTGGCCTGCTCAAAAGGACATGGTGAAAACAAAAAGGAAAAGGCGCGCAACTGGTATTAAGGAATCCAAGCTCATCTTCAACAGTACCTGATGTACACGAAAATACATGCATTTATTACAGGGAGCACAGAGCGAAAAACTTGTTGTTTTGAAGGTCTTCCTTCGACAGTAGCCAATCTAAGCAGCAAGATGGAAGACTGCCCCACCCCCCCAAAAAAAAAACCCACTGACTAATGTTCCAATACTTGTTATAAAAAAACATGGTCTCAAAATTCCAAATGGAATAGGACAGCTTCTGAATTATACCCTCCCATGTGCATTTGGGAACAGACCGGAACCAGCTGCATGGCATTGTCAGTGAAAAGCCAGGCCTTGCTCGGGCATAGCAGGGGCGTTTGGGCTGTATCACCTGCTCTGAACGGTAGGCTCTCCACTACTAGTCTCTGTCTTGGGCCATTATTCCCACTGAGATGAATGGCCGCTCCAGTCGGCTATGATGCAAGTTGCCCGCAAACTGAATGGAACTGAACTGAATAGTCACAGACTGAAGCAGGTTGCTCTTCAATTTGACCAGGCTGTCTAGAAAGCCTAATTGTACCGATCGATTACACCTCTAAATGTAAAAGACTAACCAAAGGAAGATAAAAGGCCCGACGGCCTATGCACTGCCTGGATTTTCAAAAATGCAGTCACACCTCTAGCTACAGTTGCTCTCTTAATTGACAGAAGAAAGCATCAAAGAATTCAATTATTTACGAGGGCACGACTCCAGAGCTACACCCTCACCAGCAGACCACAGACTGGCATACCTTATAGCCAACCCCTCCTTCATACCAACTCCCTGATTCCTGAAAGCTGAAATCCAACCCCGTTTTGTGGGTACTGCTAGCCCCGGGATGCTCCTGTACCTACCTTGGTGGGGCTGCTGCTGCTGACCTGCTGTTGAGTGATTTGCTGCGGGTGTGGTGCCACTGCAGGCTGACTGCTACTTGACCTTGCCTGTAGAGAGAGAAACAAAACACTCCTGTGATGAGCCGGAACCTTACGCCCACAGGGGGTGGGGTGGGGGAATTATGGAAAGGGGAAGGGCATGAGCCGGGTGGGTGGAAGAACTTCTGTGATGGGAAAGTGATTGCAGGTAATTTGCCTCTCCGCCGGTGATTTCTTTTGAGAGATGTGAATTATGACACTGATCGCCCAGCTTTCCACTTGGCACGGACCTTTTGCAGCAAAATGCAGCAATGCAATACAATTCCCGAAACATTCATCCGAGTTTTCCTCCCACCTCTACGACTGAACTTTTCTTCGTGATCTTCTACACTCATTATCATCCTGTAATTGGTGCTAAATGTGCTGTCGGATGATCAGATATAAATACATTTGCATTCCATGTTTGCTCTCATGCCAAGGATATAGTGCTCCCTGTAGAGTCCACAGCTCAATGCTGACAATTTCAGAGCAAATGGCTGATCAGACACAACCACTATTGTGGTACCCATTCACTCATTAGTACAATCAACCCCAGATCTCAAAATTGATGCTCCGGACCACAAGGACTCGATGAGCTACTTTTCGGCCGGGGTGGCTGGTCTTGACCGGACCGGAGGAGACTGACCTGCGCCTGGATCTTGAGCAGCAGGGGCTGGTGCATCTTGTAGAACTGCTGCTGCTGCTCGGGTGTCACCTTCTTGAGATGCTCCTGCAGTTGCCTGACCAGCAGCCGCTGCTTAGGGGTCAGGGTGGAGTTGCCCGCCTGGGCTGCTCCCTGAAAAAAGGTCCACATCAAACAAACTCAGGACGTTTCAACGATACAACCTCCCCCCTCCCCTCCGAGGCACAAATCGTAGCCTGCCCTACGAGAGTGAGTCAGAAAAGGCAGGAATCACCTTTGTGAGTTTCAGTTTGTATACCGACGAAAGCAAATTGAGCTCTCTTTTCTGCTACATGACTGTTCGGTATCCTGGTAAATACGGATACTGTGAACGTGAGTGAAGTTTCCTATCCTACTGATTTTAAATTGTGCAAGATTCTTCCTGCTAAATGACGTAAGCGACTTCTGTCTACTTTTCAGACTGGGTCACAAATACAGTAACTGGACGTTTCCAAAGATATATCTTCAGCTTCTCCAGAAGCTGATTTTGAAACATTGTGAACCAAACAGAAACAAGAAGACAGAGGTCCCATCATTAGGAGCGCTGCAGCGGCATGAAGGTTCTGCCGTCTGCGACATTAAACACCAGACAGATTTCAGACGGCATTCCACATATGTGCACAATGACTTAAAAAGTAACAAACACAAAGCGAGGAAAAAACCCAATGATATGTGATCTGACCTGTCACGAGTCCATGCAAGTCATCTAGTCTTACAAGATGTCACAAGCTTTTCAAAGCAAACCGTCGTTTCATTTCTTTATCTCTGCGTACCCTACTGCTTCTGTGAAAGGTTTTGTGATAGACCGGACTGCGGTGCTGGAATAACAATCTCATCTGTGGTTACTGACATCAGTCTTTACCTTTAGGGATGCTTGAATAGCCGCGGCAGTTGCAACAGCTGAGGCCAGCTGCTGTGCGCCTTGCTGCTGTTGTTGCTGCTGCTGCAGGGCATCCTTGCTGTTCAGCGACTGCGACAGGACCTGCCCGGCCCCTGCTGCCGGCTTCTGGGCTGAGGCAAAGGCCGGCGTGGACTGACTCAGGCCCTGCGACTGCAGGGTTGCTGCGGCGCCGGTGGTTGCCTGCGACGTCGAGGTGGGCTTCTGCTGCTGTGACGCTGTGAGAAAACAAAGCAGCAAGCAGTGTGTATAATCCCCGGCTCACTGGGCAATGCTTGACTGTACAGGAAACGTGTCAAATCTTGTCCGGAAACATTGAAAGAGCACTGTAGTTTCCAAGATGGGCTTACATGTGCATGTTTATGTTAATTAGACCTTTGTACTTTGCAAACTTTGTATGTAATTTGCATACTATCTACAGGATCTACTCATCTGCATGTGACCCATACCTTTGACTTGCAGTGCTGATATTTGAATGAAACATGCTATTGCCAAAGACCAATGACTGACCAATCAGAAGGTAGGGGGAATCATTCAGCTCACCTCCCGAGGCCAAGTACTGAGACAGCTGCTGGCGGGCCTGCTGCACGATCTTCTGCTGCAGAGACTGCAGCTGGGCCAGCATGTTCTTCTGCTGGTCAGTAGGGCTGGCCAGGGCGCCCAGCTGCCGGATGTGGCTCTGCACCAGCTGCAGCTGCCGTTGGGCCTGGATGCTGATCTGCTGGATGACCTGCTGCCGACCGCTTGGGGCCTGGCTCGACTGCAACATTGCGGCAGAACAGGGAGGGGAGGAAACGAAACAAAAGTAAAAGCCCCTCAAAGTCAAGTCTCAACACAGACCTTTAGGTCTAAGCTATACACTGAGCCACAGCCGTGCCGAACTCAAATGATTCATTTTTTAAAAAGTTCAGCACGGCAATAGCATGACGTTTGCACGATTCTGGTCGGCAAATAGAATTTGGCAAGGTAAGCCCTTCAGCTCGAAGGGGCAGGGGTCGAAATTAACGGTGGTCCGCTGGCCTGAGGCCAGTAGAAAAGTCGGCAGACCAGCTGATCTAATAAAACTGGAGGTCCGGTGGGCAAGTTGAAATCTGATGTCTTTTCTGTCTTCACAAGCATCTTTCAATAACCTTTTCCCACTTTAAATGCTTGTTCTTATATGTCTTCCTACTTACATTAGCAATTTCTGAAAAAGAAGTTATTTTCACGCGTTTCCATTCATGTTTCGCTGTTGCAGAGGTGAAAACATGTGCGCAAAGTTCAATGCATTAAACGTTTTAAATGAAGCTGCTCTGGTTCCCGCCGCGCCCATGCAAAAGAATGCATGACGGAAATGTAGGAACCAGAACCAGTCTGTACTGTACATGTTCTGAATATATTTTACATGTCCACTCTACATCCGCAGTACACGTCACGTATGCAACCCTAAGGCTGCAGGTCGAAAAGACATTGATGTTGTAAGAGGTTTTCTACAAGTTAATTCCCAGAACTTGGTCTCTTATTTATGTACATGTACATGTATGTATTTTCTGCGTTCACGAGTTTAATTCGAGCTTGTTCTGCTCGTGGCTCAAGGTTTATCGCCCGCTGGTCTGGATGCATCTTTGATTGGCTGGTACAAGTACGCACAGCCGTAAGTGCAAAACCAAATGATTAATTTACTATGCCCATATACAGGTTGAAATACCACTCACTGCTTTCAAACAGCTAAACACCACTACTTATGAAAATACCATCGTCCATAAAAAGTCATGGGGCAAATTTGACATCAACCAAGATTGGCGTTTCCGTGAACTTTGCCCATCCATACAAATGGTGGCAACATGGCAGCAAGCAGTCTGTAATAGTACTCTTTGATTTGCAAATTGAATTTCCTTTCAGTTGAATTTGGAAAAATGAGGGGGGAGGGAAGAGCCTTATCCGCTTCTGATTATTTAAGTTTTGATCTATGTGACCAAACTTGTACATGCTTGCTTCAGTCAAAACCCAAAAGCAGAACAGTTCTCCTGAACAAACATGCGCAGCTGGGCAAAGTGATGAAACCAGGTAAGCGATGGACTGCTGAAAGTTACTTGGCTTATTGCTACTTTAACATGCAGCATTCCTTCTCAGGAAGATTTCAATCAAGTCTAATTTTGATTAGCGTTCAAATCTTCTACAAGCAACTTTCTAGACTCTGAGGGTAAATGCAGATCTAAAAAAGGATCAGGGATCCTGACAAAAAAAGTGGCATTGGTTTGGATAACTTACCACCTGAGTGATTCCCGATGAGCTGCCTTGCTCCCCACCCTGCGGCTGTTGTTGCATCTGAACTCCTTGTTGCTGCACTAGCATGCCTTGCTGCTGCTGTTGCATCCCCTGCTGCTGTTCTTGCACACTGTGCTGCTGGTGAACAGCTTGCAGCTGTACATTTGGCGGCACCTCCATCCCTTGATGTTGGCTGACCCTTTGTTGCACTAGCAACCCTTGCTGCTGCTGCTGCTGGCCTTGGTACTGCACCTGCACCCCTTGCTGTGTTGCATTGTCACCTGCTCGCTGAACAGTCTGCACCTGTAGGCCACTTGCAGGAGTGCCCACCTGCACCTGGGCGGGGCCACCTTGTGACAGCTGGTCCGCTCCAATCTGACTGGTACTCTGCTGCTGCACCTGAACCACGGCTGACGAGGCGCTCAACTGTCGCTGTTGCTGCAGCTGCTGTTGAACAGTTACCTGTGCAGCAGGCGCGGCGGCTACATTTTGTGAGGTCATCTGGAACAGGTTCCCCTGGCCAATTTGGAGGCTGCCCTGAGATGGCTGATCCAAGCTCTGCGAGGTCTGCACAACACTCGTGAGCTGACCAAGAAGTGGGCTCTGCTTGGCCTGGGCCAGACCGGCCTGTTGCCCGGTCGCTCCCTGGGAGATCTGCTGCTGCAGCTGACTCTGAGCCACGGCCTGCTGGGGGCTGGTTCCACCATTAGCCCCTTGTTGGTCTACGGGTAATGCACTGCTTTGTTGTTGCTGCTGCTGCTGTTTCTGCTGGCGCAATCTTGCCAGATGGATAGCTGCTGAGCCCAACCCTCCAAATGTGTGCGGTACTTGAGAGCTGACAGCCTGCTGTTGTGAAACGGCAGTAACTCTGGTCTGGGGCAAAACCTGCAATCCTTGCTCCAGGGAAGGCTGGACTTGAGTTGCTGATTTATCACTGTTACTGTTGGCACTGGCTAGCTGAGGTGTCCCTTGGCTTTGCTGGGCACTCGATGCTTGTAGATCACCTGGTTGGCTCGATGCAGCCTGGGGCTGCGCACTTTGACTTTGCTGCTGTAGTTGCAACTGCTGTTGCTGTTTCTGCTGCTGAAGGGTCATTTGCAGCTGTTTAAGAAAGTGTGGATTGGCCTGAATGAACTGCTGTAGTTGCTGCTGGGATGTGATCTGCTGTCCCTTGCCGCTCTGGTTGATGAGGGCCAGCAGGGCCTGCCCAATGGTCATCTGCCGTGTCCCTGGTTTTGATTGCTGCTGCTGTTGCTGTGCCAATGGTGTCTGCTGGTCAGCAGTTGGCTGAGATGACTGTGCCATCTGCGGCTGACTCAGGGGTGGTTGTGATGACGAAGTCTGGGACTGCAACCCTTGTGAATTCAGTGAAAGCAACTGCTGCTGAGAGGTGTACGCCATTTGTGAACTCTGCAAAACCTGCTCCACAGTTTGCTGGGCTTGCTGCTGACTGACTGTCAGAGTCCCTTGCTGTTGCTGCTGCTGTTGGTCCTGTTGCGCCAGTTGGCCTGGAGCAGCTTGGAGAATCTGCTGGGCAGGCTGTACTTGCTGGAGTGACAGCTGAGCCTTAAGCTGTGCCTGCTGGGCAGACAGCTGCGCCTGCTGCTGCGACAGTCGAAGTGCTTGCTGGATAGCCTGCTGGGCACCATGAGAAGTCGGACCGCCTGGTTGGCCAGCCTGCTGCAATTGCTGACCAGCCTGCTGCTGGTGCTGTTGCTGCTGGGCTTGTTGCAGCTTCAACACCTTTTGGTAGAGCTGGAACTGTTGCTGGTCAGCATCCAATAAGGCCTGCGCTTTAGCATCTGGCTGCTTCTGCTGGACCGAGACTGAGCTCACCTGATACGTCGATTGCGTCACTTGGGGCGTCACTGACAACTGGGTCGTCTGGGCACTGGTCGGGTGACTACCGGCCTTACTGATAGTCATTGTCGGTATACCCTGCGCGTTTGGAGTGATAGTGAAGTCTGTCTGCAAGACGACGGTGGCCGGGCTTTGGTGTGTGGGAACCCGCTGGATGGCCTGTGCTGGTGTTTGCAGAGGGGACGCTCTCTCTGCTACGCCCGTCTTTGGGGCTATGTCTGCAGTTGTTTTCTTCTTCTTCGAGGGTCGCGAGGACTTCTTTGCTTTGCTGTTTGCCGGCTCTGCCTGGCTCTCGCCCGTGGCAAGTTCTGGTGCCACCCCAACTCCAGACTGAGTCGTGGTGGTAGAGGCAACAGGCTGAGCCTGCGTCATCACAATGATGTTCCCCTGACTTGTGCCGATGGTAATCACAGGATGCACTTTTTGGGTTGTCCCGTAGTTTGAAAGGACGGTCTGATTTTGGAGGACGACGGCCTGTTGAGGCACGACAATGCCAGGCTGTGAAGTCCCAGTACCCTGCTGATGAGCAAGAGTCTTGGTCAAGGTGTTGCCCTGTCCAGTAACTGGCTGGTTGACTATTTGGTAGGTCTGCTGGACGGGAGTGCTGCTGTCTTGCTGGGCTGAGGCAACCTGGAACGGCTGCCCCGTTGACTGCTGTTGGACAATTCTATAGCTCTGCTGCTGCTGCTGCTGGCCGCTGGAATTCCCTTGCTGCACAGCCTGCGTGGGAATCTGTAAAATTTGACCCGATGTCTGGTGCGGCACCAGGCGGTAGCTTTGCTGCTGTGATGAACTGTTGTTATTCTCCTGTTGAGATGATGCTGCTGGCTGCAGCAGCTGTGAAACCACCTGTGGTTGCTGCGTCTGATCTTGGCTTGCCGTCGAGACCATGACAGATGGTCCCAGTGTTGGATGGGTGATGATCTGGTAATTTTGGGGAACGGCACCAGCCTGCAGGGCCTGCGTGGGTATCGTGATAGTCTGCACAGGTCTGATAGAGATGGGAGTCTTGGCTACAGTGCCGCCAGCTGGCTTGGGCTGTATGTTGGCGGGGCCTTTGACGACCTGAGGCGAGGCTATGATGGTCTGCATTCCAGACACCTTGGGCGTGGCCTTGGGCGGGGCTTGGACCAAAGTGATCTGCTGACCAGGGGCTCCGCCAATGATGACCTGGCTCAGTGCCATGACCCTTCCCGGGGCGAGAGCCCCACCCTGCTGCAGGAGCTGGTTGCTGGGTATGATCTGGATGGGCTGGCCCACGGCCTGACTCGGCCCCAGCGACTGGGTCATGCTCTGCACGGCCTGCAGCATGGTGCCGGACAAGGTGACAGGCTGGCCTGCCGCATTCCTGGCGATGATGGTAGAGCCTGGGGCCAAGTAGTGGAGGGTGCCGCCTGGGGTCTGGGCAGTGGGTGCTGCCTTGGCCGGCTGCTCCTGCACCTGGCTGGCGGTCTGCCCCAGTTGCACTGGAACCTGTGCGGCAGAGTCTTCAACACCACCTGCCACACTGGTGCCCCCGTTCAGCACTTGCAGGGCTGGAGTCTCGGCATATGGCTTGATAGTGGCTACGGGGATTGCAGTGTTGGAACTGGCCGAGGATGGTACAGCATGAACCTGTGTGCTCTGCTGCACTTGGACGAACTGAGCTTGTGGGTTGTAGGCATCGGACCCTGCGGCATTTTGCTGGGCCGGGCTGGCTTTCCCCACAAACTCGTCACCGTGAGTTGTGCTTGATACGGCCTGAGCATCAAGTGTGTCCGATGTGGCAAGTGATGTCTGCAGATAGCTCGGTTGAGGGTCACTTTGAGGCAAGATCAGGTCAGTCGGTGAGAGGAGTTGATGGCTAGAAGGGTAGTTAATCTGACCATAAAAATAAGAAAAAATCAAAGTTTGAGACTGGGGCAAAATAATTAGGCCTTCAAGCTTACTGGCAGAATGTGTAGAAAATATAGCCAAGGACATAAACACTGCATATGAGGTAACATATTAACTATTGCACAATGCTAGTCCCCCTAAAGTTAGGGGAACAAAACTCATGCGGTAAGTAGCCCTAGTTTAATGATTTTGCCACTCGAAAAGTATATGCCGTGTCATTAGCAAAATGATAAGCTTTGATTCTGAACAGAAAATGAGCCTAGCTTTTCAATTTATATTTCATTGACTTTCAATCTTCAATCACCATTCAATCTTATCACATTTGTCTCAATCAAACTGAACTTTCTCTCCCTGCGCTATGCACTTTCCCGGGCTCAATGGCTGGTATAAAAAACAAAGGAACCCAAAGTTTGTGTCTGGTAAGTACTGCAACACTCCAAACAGTCTCCTTCGGGCATCAAGTGTTCAAAAGAGCCAGTCAGGCTTTCCGAAAACAACCCCAAGGTTATTGGAGAACAAAGTGTGCGTGCAGGTCAGTGTGTACCTGCGTTGATAAGGCAATCCTTATTGGGCCCCTAGTCAAGGCTTGTCATTCATGACTATTCATTTGGAGATGCCCTCTTCAGGCTGGTTGCTAGATATCGACACTTGGTGTTGCCCTTTAGTTGAACTAGGCTCTCTGGAAAACACGCCATGTACAACACTTTTTGTTTTGAGTCAGAAAAACTGAGGAAATCCCAAAGTACACAAGACTTTGAACAACTGGCAATGGCACACATGGCTGGTCAGAAACAAAAAACCTGTTTTACTGAGGAAAAGGTTGTGTACAATGCCGTCAATGCCTGCACTAAGATGTGTACATACATGTAGTTAAACAATACCTGTTCATCATCTGTCACTTCACTGTACAGGTTTGGTTGCAGCTGTCTATCCTCATTCTGTAAGAACTCATCCAGTGCAATAGGGTCACTGTAGGGGTGAAATATCAAGACAGGATCATTTTAGGGGTAAGTACGAACATATGGGGTTACTGGAGGGGTGTAACATTAACGTGTAGGATCACTGTAGGCTGGTAGGGGCGTAATATGAAGACGGGGTCACTTGGGGGGTGGAATATTAACAAGGGAGGGGTGACTGTAAGTGATGGCAGTTCCACGGTTGTTGGACGGCAGAAACATGTAGATCCCAGTGGCTATTTTTGAATGGACAAGCAACTGGACAAGTGTGATGATGTTGCATGTACAGTGCATACATACAGCGAGAATATATATCAATGAAACAGCAGTTGGGTGTTTGCATCGAGTTGTGCACTGTTGTGCGCCTATGTGGCAGTGATGTCACACTCAATCCCAAGGACCCAACATCTTGCATTTCACTAGTGTTTATCATTCTTCAAAATCCCCATGCTCATGGGATCTACCGTATATGTGCATTAAAGACGAGGAAAACTTCCCAGCCAAGTTTGTTAGACGTTTTACCGGGTGTTTCCCCCCCCCCAAAAAAAAATCAGAACAGTCAGCAGGCACGTTACAGTACACTGGAAAAAGCATCTCTTGTAAGAAGCCTCTATACCCCTGCCGCACTGCCAACAGTGGCAGAGGTTCAAACAACTCCTGTTGATCTAGCAAGACTTTAGAGGAGGAGTCAAGGTACAAATGATAACACTTGACCCCGCTGACGACTTCTTGCACTAGCAACAACTGCTTGCGAGTTTCAGCGATTGGGAGACTTTTGTCAGATTTCATTTTTTGTGGTACTGGTATAATCCATCCTCTAAGGGTGCGAATTTACGTTTAATTTGAAAAACACAACAAACTGTATACAATGTAAATAGCTGACATGAAGTTCCGGTGATGAATTCAAGGTACATTGTATTTCTTTGATATGACCAAGCAGTAAAGCGTTCTGACAATCAAATTTCATTTTGGAAGCATCATTCACAATAAAAATGAACACAAGATTACATCAATAAAAAGGTCAAACCATCCAATGGGGCGGTTCCGTTTTAAACGTTTGGGAAAATCTGTTAACGGATTTGGAGACACCTTTTTTTCGTTTAAACGTTTAAATCTGTAAACATCCTACCCTCACCATCGTCAAACTGTAAATATCCAGGTTTAGTAGTTTTGCGGCTAACTTGTATTGTAACTCCCTCGCACCCTTGTGAGAAACTTTCCCCAATTACCCCAAGTGAACCACGATGAAGAAAACATGGGCATATCTAGGAATTCTCCGTGGAGGGGGTGGGAACACTAGAAGGGAGCAACCTATTTCCCGGGGGTGGGGTGTGAGAGGAAGGATAACACTCTTTGAGCTGAACTGCTGCATTTACAGTGAGAGGGGGTAAATTTTATAGGTTTCCTTTAAAAGGAAGGTCCCTGTTCCTTTTTTTTCAGCATTTTCATTTTTTCTCCCTTTGTTCCGGGTGGGAGGGGGACAAGTGCCCTTCCAACATCCAGCCCTCACAATGCCGATGGGAGTAAATTACTGACGAACTCTTTGTAGGAGTCCCCGCCCTCCCAACAAGAAACTTTCATGTGAAATTGGAAAGCATAACAAGACAAGGGTTAAATTTTCAAGAGGTATCGTGCTGTTTTGTCTGAAAGGGGCTTTTTACTCATAGCCTGTGCCTGTATTTATTTGGAACTAGTAGAGACCCAGACCCACACGTAGCTTTGAGACGGGATTCTGGCACCGCCTACACTGTACATGTACATTAACATTGACTAGCTCCACTTTCCTAACTTCTGCAACATTCTCAAGACTTCTTGGTAGATTTTGAGGTTAATGAGGTTAATAATTTTAAATCTCCTATAATTTGCTTCAAACATTATTCCCTCTCTCCAAAAAAACCCAAAAAAATCCAACAACAAAAACTAATTCTGGGACTTTCGAGAATTGCTTCAATGCTCTAGCATTTCTTTCCAAAAAGACAAACAGAAGAACTTACCCAATAACGTCCAGTAAGCATCGACCATCATCCATGGCCTACTGCTGGACCTGGTACAGAAGAAAAAGGACAAGGAACTGATTTGATGAACCCCTGTACTCACGGGTAACCAAGTGTAGGCAAGAGAACCAAGCAGGCAGTCATGTGTACGCAGGGTTTCAGCTCCGGCAAATTGGTTTATTAACTGGTGCTCCGGCTCTGTGCGCATTCCTGCTGCCACTTTTTGCACTTTTCCCATGTAGTGCTGAGCACCTTTTCCCCCGGCCTCCGGACTACAGGCCAAGATTGTTAACACTTGCCAGATTGGTTGAGGCTGGTATGTGTGTGACAGCAGGCCACCTGGTACACCTTTTACCAGAATAGTGGACCCAGAGGATTTCAACCCCCTAGGACTCACCTCTGACTTTCAAATTTTTTTCCTTTTTTTTCTTGTAGAGAGACATTTTTCCCTCCCCTTCTTTCTTTCATCTTAAGTGGCTCGTCACATTTTTTGGTGCAGTGACTTTTAAGGAGGAGAGCTACATGTACTTGGAAAACATGCATTGAGCCTCCCCCTCAGAATGTACATGTAAATACCATACTTTTTGTTCGAGTTCACAGGGGGATTTGTGATCCCCCTTTAGCAAATTTAATTGCACCCCTATTTGAAAATGCAAGCTGCACTATCCCGACCATGTATTTCAGAGACTTTACTTCTTCTGGTGGAAGTTTACTTATTATTTTCTGTCACCATTTGGGAATTCCACTTTAAAAAAGGCCTGTGCTCTAACTCTATCAGACTGTCTCTCAGTACTTTGCACAAGGGCCCTCTCAGTCGTCCTGGATGAAATCATGTGCAAAACAATGAATGAATGGTAACGGTGGATCTTGTTGCATTGAGCATATACTGTACATGTACATATACCAGAGAAAGACACGTTGGCTGGCCTTGACTCTGTGCACCCTCCCACTTCAGTGCACATGTGGACTACTGTAGCAGTTTATTACTTCTATAAATCAAGTACGGTTAGGTAAGGGCAAACAAAGTTAATTACAATGGCATACATTCATTTCAACGAATCTGAAACTTGGCCAAGGACTTTGAAGCGACACCAATTTTCATAAACTGGGCACTGCAGAAGTGCAGGTGTTCGCTGAATAGAAGCAGATGCTAAATAATCGTACTGACCTTGTTCCAAATGGTATACATGTAGGACAGCTACGTTGGGAGAAGCAACATGGCGACACTTGCTTCAGAGCACTTTTCAACGACAAAAATAATCTTTACGTAGACGATGCCTGACCAGAGAACAAATGCACCTGGAAATAATACAATGAAATTTTTTTCAAGATGACTTGAAGAAAGCACCTGAACATGGAAACATGAGACTCCGCGATGGCCGGATGGAGAATTGAGTCCTCCAAAATCCTTCGGGTGGTTTTGGAGGATTCTGGAGGATTGAGGATGAATGGCAACAGTACATGGCTGATTACGAAGGATGCCACGTATGAATGTCGTGGGTCGGACCTTGTGCTGTTTAAGCTTAGTCATACATGTACATAAATGTAGCCCGGTAGTACTTTGAAATCAACCGCACTGCTCGAGAATGCCATGTGCACTGCCTAACATTATTGGCAGGAATTACCGGAAGATTTTGAAGGATTGAGGAGCTGAGTACCTCTCATTTTGAATATACGTGCAAAGATTGGAGGATTTTAGAGGCTCGAGGATGAACGTAATTTTTGGACTATGGTCACTGGAGCATGTTGGAGGATTAAGGGTGTGCCCTAGCAAAAAAAGGCCCTTGTGGATATCAGGGTTAAGCTACATGTACATGTAAGCTCAAATTTCCCTGGATAACATACAATTACTTTAGCCTGCAGAAATCATTTACCACTCCCCCAATGGCCCATACAAGAAATTTATGAAAGTTCTATTTTGGGGGTTCAGTAAACATGAACAGGTTCACTGAAGCTGGATTTGAAGCTGTACGCCCCCTCCCTAACACAGTGCAGACATCCCACCACATGAGTTACCCATGCCCAATCTGAAGTACCTCAACATGTCGTTCTTTAACAGGTGGATAATCTGATACAGGGTGTACATGCTTTTTGGTAGTTTGATTTCTGATAAGTCAAGCCTTGATTTTTCCAGTGACTCCTACTTTTTTTTTACTTTTACATGTACATGCAAAATTGGTTTCCCACAAGAGAACTGGTCAGTTCTGTTGATAAAGCTTCTTATGGGGAGCTGGTCTTCAAACTTATATCTGAGATTTGATTTAAATTTCCTCTGACACCATTCACCAAATCCTGAGGAGAGTCCTGCTGACAAGCAGGTTCTGCAGATGTTTTCATTTTTTTCTTCTTCAGAAAATCTTCTAAAAATCATCACACATGTACGTTACTTTCTCGTCTAAGGGATTTTTGGGGCTTTTTCTCTGTTTTTGAAGTTTGAATCAAACAAAATGCAATGTCTTCCTCTGGCAAAATTTCTCTTCAGGCAAACTTGAATTCTCAATTCTGATTCATCGATCCATGCCAACAGACAGTGTGACAAATAACCATGTTGCACAGCCCAAGTTAAACCCCTCATAATGCACTAACCTAACTCCATGCAATGCGCACAATTGCAAAATTTACTGTAAATTCAAAGGTAGTATATGAAGACTACCCCGAAAAAGATATAGCGCACCTCGGTTGTATTTTTCAGTTGCTTATTTTTCCATAAAATATCTGTTTGTCAATAAATTGACTAACCTGAGTCTTGTGTCATAATTTTAATCAAATAAATTCATATTTCGAAGGGTCCATGTTGGTCCTATGGTTCCATTTAAGAACGATGTCGCGACAGCATTTCGCAACCATGTAAAATCGCCATACTGAAAGCCTCATTAAATATTCATGAAGCTCATTTATATATTATAGTGGCATTTAAACCAATGGCAACAAACTTCGCACGGCGGGAAAATACATTTTCTGAATATTTATGAAGTAAAAGTTGACCCCCATTGAAGGCTATGGAAACTGGGGATTCTAGTGCTTTATATAGGGGGGCTATTTTGCATATGAATCCTTTCACTTGAATCTCAAAGCCGAACACAATGGCATGAGGAAGGAATTTCGAAACGAGAGATAACCAGGCGTCTTGGCATCAATGACAACACCGTCAGGACTAATTTAAAGAAGCTGGTGGAAAGAAGATCCATGGCAAGTCTCCCCAAATCTGGCCGTCCAAGGTCCATCAGTGCACGGGATGACCGATTCCTGGTGTGGACATGCCGGCGAAACCATTTTCTTACTGCCCCCGATTTGCGAATGGAACTAGCCCAGACTGGCGTCGACGTCCATCACTCCACCGTGTCTCGTCGCCTAGCAGCAGCTGGCTTGAATGGTTGGGTAACAAGGCACAAGCCCCGCCTTGCAGCTACCCACAAAGCAAGGCGTCTAGCCTGGCCCCGCGAGCATCTGGCACAGACGGCTGATGACTGGAGCCGCGTTCTTTGGAGCGATGAGTCGTGGTTCCAGCTGTATCAATCAGACGGCCACGTTTATGTCAGAAGGGTGGTGGGGGAGGAGTTTTCGGAGAACTGTGTGGTTCCGTCAGTAAAGCATGGAGGATCTGGCTTCATGGTTTGAGCTCTGTGGGCACCGGTGCGCTGACACGGGTTGCGGAGAATATCAACGCCGGTGTTTACATCGATATTCTCTGCGACCACATGCTGCCTTCTGCCCACGGTTTGATCGGCCTTGACTTCCTGTTTCAGCGCAACAATGCTCCCCCACACACTGCAAGAATTACACAGGAATTCTTGGCCGATCCAACCCCTGATTTCATCACTGAAATGGGGGGCAGTTGGCAGTTTGAGGTGATGGAGTGGCCAGCCCAGAGTCCTGACCTCAATCCATTGGAGAATCTTTGGAACGAGCTTGAATTGCGACTCTGTCATGAGAATCGGAGGCCTGAAAGTAAGGAGGAGCTGTTCCAAATCCTCCGGCAGATTTGGGATGGAATGGACCGTCATTTCATCACCAATCTCTTGGCTTCAATGCCAAGAAGGTGTCAAAGCGTTATCCATGCTCGTGGAGGTTTTACACGCTACTAAACTGATCAAGGTCCTTCGTGTTCATTGGCCTGCCGGTGTGGCACCGCGATCTTGGATTTTGCTACGTCCCCCACTGACTTTGTACACACAGAAAACAGTTCAGTTCATTTTTTATCATTTTAATAACATTTAAACATAAATATGCGATACCAAGGACAATTTTATTGAAGCATACACATCAATTAAGATTTCTATAATGCTTTTGTTTAATGTTTTAAATATTACATGAGAGCAACAACGAAATATAATGTTCACGTGCGCTCTATCTTTTGCGGGGCATTGTATGTTTGTACACATAGGCCCTTATAACGTTATCTTTACTGCCCACGTCTAGTTTGCTTGAGGATAAATTTGTTATCATACTCACACTTGCGGAACACAGAATAATGTACATGCTACTGTGTCCCGTGTACCACTTGGCCGAAGGGGCACAGGTGCACTACATGTACATTATTGTGTGTTCCACCCGCACTCTTGTGATAACTAATGCAAACTGCATACTACAGTCCCCAAGGAAAAGTGCAAGTATTTTCTTTATTTTTGAACTGTTGAACAGCTATACAATGCCATGACTGTACTTGTACATGTATGTCTACAAGCGATTTGTACATGTCAGAGATAAAGCTTGAGACAGCTGCACAGCCTTAACTGATTGAAAAAGATATGGCAATGGCCTTTTGCACCTGTACCAATCATTGAGAGATGGTGCACATGTTACCCCGAATCACGGGTGTTTTTTGATGTACACACTTGTGTACGCAACCCTTTCTAATACCAGATCCCTTTACATGCAAGTACACAAAGTTGATTGCCAGCAACATGAGGAAACTGAAGTTTACATATACACTGTAATTGTGCTTGTGCAGTACGCGTACCCCCCCCCACAATGTACACTGTACAGTGTACATGTATGTACATGTACAGTGCAAAGCAGTCGGCAAAACACTGTTATTCACATACACCTGTACACTATCTTCTTATGTGAATGAACATATGTACATTGTATGCAGAGAACTGACAATCAAAGTGAATGATCTACATGTACGTGTAGACTACAGTAGATGCCACAGCATAGGCCTACATGTACATTGTACATGTACATGTACTGTACAATGTACCGTGGGTGCTTCATGTAATTACTACGCATGCCATCACATATTAAATCTAATGTATAAGGTCATGTACATGTACTGTACAGGTACATGTACATGTAAATACCTGTACACTGTACTGCCAAAAGGATTTTGTATTACCTTTAGCAGTCAGTCATGTCAGTGATGGGCATGTTTAACAAAATGCAAGCAGGCGCCTACATGTATCTGTACATGTGAACATAAAAGCCTGGAATGTTTCCCTACTTGTGGAGGGTAATCATGATATGCTTGTCCTGCTTGTGGCAAAGTCAGTTAAACGAAATCCAAAAATTTCAAACATCTGTTACGTGATTGATACTTGAAGGTACATGTAATGCAACGGCCTTGTGGTCTGGATCCAGTTGAGACCTCAGGATCTGTGGATGCTCTGTACAAATGTACATCTTATTGGCTTTGAGACCAGGTCAGGGTTTGAGGGGGCATGTTTGAGAGTCTGTGGGCTCCAGACACTATGCCATCAGTGCTTCAGGATCCCGGCCCTAGAGAGAAAGGGCCATCAGTAAAGGGGTTCAATCTGTGGACAGTTTTTTTGCACACTGGTTTACACATTTTGGGGAGCCAAAACGTTCTAGTACATGTACGGTGTATGCGGTAAATTTCTCTCTACCATGTTCATCAGACACACTACAACTTAAGAACACACAATCAGTTTAAAGCTACCGGTACACCCACGAATGCCAAAGTAAAATGTTACATGGATTGTGCTTCTGGGACTTTTACACTTCCCCATACCACTTTGTCTGATCACTGCACTTCCTCATACCACTTTGTCTGATCACTGCTGCTTTTAGGAACAAAGGGGTCGGAAAACGTCAGATATACATTGTATGTACATATGTACATTTACCGGTATGTCTGAAAATCATTTTAAGCCTCCATGTATGTGATGCGACATTCATGGAGCATGAGCTCGGCTCATATTAGCCTTTCGTCAAGGCCTTCGTGGCTGTGTTAACTGCAAGGCGACTGGACAGGAGACCAGGCAAGTGGCACAGCCACGACACCTTTTCCAACTTAATTTTGAGGTGTTTGTGGTGAATTATTCATTAGCTTTCTGATATGCATTATTCATAAATTTCACGGAAATAGTAGAAGCAGATGAGTCTCTGACATTGGCATCAACTCCAAAGCTTACACAATGTTTCCATCTGTTTTTCATGAGGGCAATAAGTGGTGAGATGACATTGACAACTATGATGCTTGTTGGTGAGGGATGGTGCTGACGTTGGAGTAACACTAGCAAGTAGCAGTTCATCAAGGCCGAATCGTCAAAGCAAAATGGCAGTGCTTGGAATAAGGAGCTCTTACCAATATCTTGTGGGTAGAGACAAAAATGTCACGCCTACGTACAGATGCTTCAATAGTCTAACGCTGCAACGGTTTAAACTCAGCAAGGTGAAGTTTTCCAGCAGCATATTCTAAGGAACTGTCCAAATATTGCTCAGACAACTGACCTGCACTCACGGCCGCCGACACACTTGACACGCTTGCCATCTTTTGTATGCTTCCAATTTGCATAATAGGTTAACGTGTGCTGACCCATCGCACATGATTGGCTGACATTTTTGCTAAACATAAAGAAAAACATAAGAAATTCCAGACAAGTTCGAAAAGGCCCCATGGTTGCACCACTCGTACATGTGGTCTCCGGTCCAGCTGCTTTGCAGTTACACATAAACACAGCAGCGAAGGCCTTGACGAAAGGCTAGGCTCATATCAGCGGTACCATTTCCTAGAATAAAAGTTGCCGAGGCGGAAACTGGACGAGCTGAAGGGCTCCTTGTACCCAGGCCACGGTAAACATTCTGTACGTGTTACAGACTACAGAGTGAAACCTCTGTGTCACACTGCATTGTGTTGAAGGTTGAGCAATGCAATCTCATCACCCATCGCCCGAAGCCATGATTGATTAAAAAAAAAATTAAGTTCTCGAATTTTTTATCGAGTATAAAGGTCGAGTGCCGAGTATCTAACATGTATAAGGGTTGGATACACCCAAAATCCATGCACAAAGAATCAAGTACGGGCCAAGTACAACAAAATTCTGAGTACTGATAACTGAGTACAGGCATTAGTACTCTGGCACACTCGAGTTGTACTTGAGTATGAGTACTCCAAAACTGATACACACGCCTCAAGAACAACTGAATTTCTATTTCCCTGGATCTTCCAATTCTTGGATTCATACAAATTATCTTAATTCAGTGTTCCACATCTGATGGCAACTTGACCAGGGCCCTCTAAGGTTTGTTAAAACTGCACACAGGGAAGAGTGGGGCTGCAGGTGATCAAATAAAAGACGATGAACTACATGTATAGGTGCAGGCAAGGGTGTTAAATCCGTTTTGAAAAGTGGGAGGGGGGGAGGGAGACACTGCCCTGATCAGAACAAATGCGAGCACAAAGCGCTAAGCCCCAAGCAGAGCTACCTGTGGTTAAGCCAGTTAAACAAATGCTTTGGCAAGGTATTCATGTACATTTTTACTGGGGTTTTTGAAAAAAGTGGTGGGGGGGAGGGGAGAGGGAGAGGACAATGACATGTCCCCCACCCCCCACCGAATTGAATCCTATGTATGCAGGTGGGGTCAACGTGGTACACATGTATGATCTGGTGAGAACATTGTTGGAAATGGGGTGCGTTGAGCAGCTCATGTGTAGAGGACTTACATGTTTTCAACTTTAACTTGAAGTTTGTGACAATGGAAACCATGTCCATGCTCCCGTGTATGTGTTACAGAAGTACATGTACTGCTCCCATGTATGTGTTACAGAAGTACATGTACTGCTCCCATGTATGTGTTACAGAAGTACATGTACTTTTTGAAAGTCTACACACCTGTTTTTGGATGTATACATGTAGGTTGCATACTTTTTACTACGTGTACATGTGTTTGATTGAAGCTCGACTGTTCTCATCAGAAAGTATAACGAAACAGGCCTACTTCAAATAATTAAAAGTGTGCTTTGGTTAAGGTTTTTGAGTAACAGGACTTTTCCCACCTGTACACACGTTGTACTCATTGGTAATACGGCGTTCGTCATTTACATGTGCAAAAGTTCCACCTTCACGTACATAATTTGTAACTGTCTGCTGCATGCGCATGCACGCAGGGACCCTAAACCAAAGCAGGATCAGATATTGTAAAAGTAGGATATGAACACAAATAAAGTAACATTCCCTTCTGATACTGAAAGACGTGCATGTCTTACCATGCCTACGGGCCTACATCACAATTTTGATTCTGTATGAGGGACTCTAGCAATGTCTGGACAAACATGAGTACACACAGTCTCAGAATAGCACAGCCCTAGCATGGCCAGCTGACTAGCTAAGTGTCAGCTAGGCCAACATTGTGTATTTTGACATGTAAACCTGGGTCCACATACATGACATAGGCCTATGCCTGCTGGGCTTTCTCATTTAAACATGTAGGTACATGAATGTGCACACAGCCTAAAACTTCAAAGACCTTCGGTCTGTCTGTAGGCCTACAGAACCACCGCAGCACACCAATGCGCGTGTATATAATGTACCGAGCTCGCACGCAGTGCACGTTGAAAGCACGAAGCGAATGTGCTGGATCAAGCGTGCCCAGCTTTTCCTTTGCCCTACCCAACCCACATTTTCATGTTTCAACACTCGATTTCCCGCAGCACGAAGCGCCAGACAGCGCCCTGCGCATGCAAAGATCACCAACCAATTACTGAGACAGAAGGAGTGACTTGGTTTGGGATCTGAAGGGGAGGAAATACTCCTACAGCTATGACCAAGGCTGACAAATTATCCTGCAAAGGCACGCAGGCTTGCCAGCGATGGCCCGGGAATGCACGCTTATGCATTGAGCTCGCTATTTATTATCTGCGAGCTGCTATCACAAAAAGCGTCATCGCACGGCACTCTTTGAAAACCATTCTACCCTCTCCGCGCGGTCAAATTCGCATTGAAAATCGCATTTCTGGAAACGAGAGAGATTAGTTTCTGGTTTTAGAGCTATTGCGAGCTCTGTTTGGCCCTCCTTTTCCCTGTAAATTTTATCAGAAAATAATATTCACAATCGCACTCACCGCCGAGGTAGTCAGCATCCAGTGTATAATAGCGACATTTCAATAACAAAAACCCCCATTGGTCAGCGATGATGGCATACCAATATTAGCATACCGAATTAGCCAATGGGAAAAATTGGTTTAGCGGAGGCGTAAGGGTTATTTCCAATCGGATTCGGGGTTTCACAGTCTCACCGCAGGGACCGTTGTGCGGTTTTTCACGCGTCGACTGTCAAAGGGGCGTTGTTTATAAGTTGTATTTGTTTTGGGGATTAACAAGGTTGTAGATTGCTGAATAGAAACAGTTTAATTGAGAAAACTTCCATCATTCTAACGAATGCGGTATATGTCAGTGTAGTAACAGTTAGGTGCCGTTTTTAATAATATTAATTAAATGAAACTGAAAGTAGGTCGCTGCATTCCGCTTGAAAGGTCGAGGAGTTGATTGAAAAAAAAAGATGTTAGGCGTTACCATTTTCACCAGAAGGGGGTTAATCAATTTCTAAGTAGCGATTGGCGAAATATAATGGCTCAAAGAATAATCACTAATACGCTTTTTTAAAATTCAGTAAAATTAATCGTATTATTTTTGTTAAAGGAAACTTGTTACTTTTGTGATTATTTGCACAGACATAAAAAGTCCCGTTTTGTCGCAATGTCAACCCATTTATGAATGGATTGTTCATAAGTTGAAATAGACATTTGGCGCGGCATTTTGAATGCGTATGACAGGTGTACATTGCAAACAAAATGGCGGACCCCGTGAGCACTCTGGAAAGTCTTCAAAAATTGGGGTTTACAGTATTAAATAAGCGTAAGTGATGAGTGTTAATGTGTTCATGGAACACAATATAAGCCAAGCTTAATATAGGCCTGCATATGTAATAAGAACAAAACATATTTTGCGCATTAGCATTAGCCTCATCATTCACGCTCAAGAAAAAGCTTATCGACATTCTCGCAGACGCAGGTAGTGTGATGTACATCATACATGTATGTAGGTTGTTCCATCACTGATCACCGGCACCACCTGCATGCATGGCATGACCTGAAACCTGTCCCTGATTTATTTTTGCGTTTGTACCGGCATGACTACTGTACAAGTTGGATCTGTTTTATTGTGACAAATTTGCTTGCACTATTTTACAAGTTATTCATTGACAATGATAGAGACATGAGCGAGGGCACTGTTTATTTGGGAACTCCTTTTCTTAAATAGGAAATTGTGATTAAATTTTGTCTTTTTACACAGGCTCGACCAGCTTTCCTATTTTCAATTTTAAAATTTTTGAAAGTTCAAGCGACGCCTGCATTTAGCTTTATTGAAATTAGGCACCAATAAGAACAAACATTTTATGGAAATGTGACTTTTAAGCTTTTCAGTCAAAATCCAGTGTGTACAAAAAAATCACACTTTGCTCTCTAATTTAGAGTACAAAACACATATCAAAACGTCTCAATATATCCCTGCTTTAAATCAGAATTTCTTTGCCTTGCAGAGTCTGATGAAATCCAAACTTATATCAAAATGTTTCTTATGACATCCTCGACAAGATCACTTCAAAAAGAAAACAGACAAAGTAGTTGAAATTTTTGAGCTCATCTAACAGCTTATTTTCCATAATTCATGTGTAATTACTCAAGCAAACTACTTCTCAGTATGTGTAGGCCTATATGTACATGTACCGTACATTATACTTATTTTTGCCTGGCTTCCTCCATGGTCATGATGGTTAGGAACCAGGTCCCTTAATTTTTGCCACCTGCTGTCAAATCTGATTGGTTTTCATAGCATAGGCCCAGTAGGCCTAAGTCAAGTGACAAAACAAGGGACCTGACCACTATCCGCCCCGAGCTGGAGTGCACCCCCATTGGCGAAAGAAAGATAGATGATTACAAGCAGACTCTCACATGCGTTCTGCATGTACCCAAAGACCATACATGCCGGAATAAATTAGTTACTTGTACTCAGCGTGTTCTGTGTCAAACAAGCATGTTTTTGCATGTCTCATAACACGCCTGTGCATTGAGTGCCCCCAAAAAACCCACTTTCATTTGTTCCACTCGGAGTTGATGGTCACCCAAATGATGTTTCGTCCCAAACTAGAATTACTAGAATTTAAAGCCAGTTTTATTTCAATTACTTTGAATTCAACCATGATGGTGTGGACCCTGATTCGCCCAACTGATACTTCATCCCAAACTAGAATTACTAGAATTTATAATGCACCATTGGAAGGCTTTCACAGTACTTCTCTGATGGTTTTTTTACCACATCTTGGCACGCAGAATGGGTTGACGCTGTCTGGGAGCAGGACTTCACTGAGAAGGGAGAGCTCCCCCCTAGCCTTGCCCAGGACATCTCTGACGGCTGGTCCTACTCCCGACTCCTGCAGCAGGCCATAGGGGCCTGCGTCCCCTGGGCACGGATCGACTTTGCCACCCTCCCCCAGGGTGAGCATGAATCGTCTGGAACCTCCAACTTGAGAGCAGGGCCATATACATTTATAGAGAGTAGTGCTGACCTAGGACATGAGAACCCAAATGGCCGTTCTGTATGCTGCCACTTTGTGCTCAATGTCCATGTGCGCTGACGCACAATTCACCATTTTGGTTCCAACAACTGAGACACTTCTGTCACAACTCTCTCGTAGGCTATAAACAGCTCTGATTTAGGGCACCATCAGTCCATTTGAAATTAATTTTCAGGTTCACTTTGCTGCCTGCCCTTATTTTCACGACTAGCTTGATTTTCTTTTGGGGGGGAAGTCTTTATTTTCCTCCAATAAAGAGGTATTTCCTAAATCAACAGGCACGATTGTTTTGACTTCGAGGACAACTTAAGACTTGGCACTTATGATGTTTGGTGCATGCCAATAGAATCCTATAATTGTGGCTTCTGACTCCTGTGTCAGCATTATAAATCATGTGATGTGTTGTTGGTACCTAGGGCTGTGCCGAATAACCAAATTTTCGATCGATTGTCGAATATTCGAATATTACTTTTCGAGTTTAAATGTTCAAATGCAAAATTCATGAAAAATAAGGGAAAATTTTCTTTTGTTTGAAATGAGAAACATTGCGCTTTGGAGGCTTGGTTCAAGCAAATTCAGAGGAAAAGCCTCAGAAATCTTCAATGATTTCAAAAGTAAATTATTCATTAAACAATTCAAAAGGAATAGAAAATTTCGACAGGGCTATACGTTTTGTTCATCTCTTGAATCTTGATAAATCGTGGCTGGAGATACTCCTAAATGTGAGAAGCTATGATATTGATCATAATGTACAAATGTGTGTGTTATTCTAACTAATTTTGTATATGGTTTGTTCATCAACAATCTGCTGGTTGGTACGACTGAATATTCAATCAAATTGAAGGTCAAATATTTGAATAGTGAATTATTTGAATTGACTCAGCCCTATTGGGACCATATATGAGACATCACAGCCCTCAGTCAAATGTATGAAATATAAATTTTCCTCCTTACAGATTTTGTTGTAACATTACTTTGTGGCAGGACTCAAAGTTACAAAATACAAGCTTCCAGTGAGATACATGTATGTCACAGAAAGGCTGCACAATGCTTAAGAGTCGGTTTACGTACATGTACATGTATGTGACTGTGTGGTTTTTATGCTGTACAATTTATTATGAACATGGGCTGACATATCCTTCCTTTTGCAAAAGTCTTTTTTCTATGGTCTAAATAATGCCAGGTTTTCCACAGTCGTGGAAAATCCTTGGGATGAAAGTTGTCCCGGAAAATCATGGAGAATGGGGAAAAGTGCGGTAAGATGCCGTTGCATCCTGTTGTCAGAGGAAAAAAGTTCATGGGGAAAATCAGGGAAATCAAGATCATGCAGGGGTTATTTTAATGGGCTGCTGGCCGCATTTGATATGATAACGGAAAAATGATGAATTTACAGGCTATCTTTGTCAGTCTGTAGTGGCTTTTGGTAGTCTTCCAGTTCACAATACATGTACCTAAATGTCATGAAAATAGTTATGATTTAGTCCTATGAAAGTCCTGGAAAAGGGGATTGTATACTTTGGGACCCCCCCCAGTTTTTTTGTCATTTTAATCTTGCAAAATGAGTAAGTCCCTGCAAAGAGCAAAGACAAACTCTCTTTATTGCGCTGACCCTATTTTTTGGAAATATCAAATTGTAAATTATGAGAAAATGTAACTTTCTTACTGATAAACTAGCCATGCAAATTTGAATCCACCATTTGTCATGTGTTAAAACACAGTTTCCCCTCATAATTTCCCTCAAAACTCAAAACCCTGCCCTCTTTTGACAACGTCTACCTGTCTACCCTACAGTTATTGAGCATGATGTCACAGTCATCTACCATGCTGAATTCAAAAGTTAAAATGTAGCTCTCTCTTCTATTATTGGAACAGGGTCCCCAAATGTACAATCCCCCTGGAAACGTCATGGAATTTGGTTTCCAGATTTGTGTGGGAATCCTGAATGTTCAGTAACCAAGAGTAACCCCCCTCTTGATTATCCTTTTTTCCATCCCTCTAACGGTCAGGCTTTTGGAGCGTCCTCTCTGAGAATGGCCTGTCTCCTCGTGCCCTGCTGGCCCTGCTCCATCATCTCATGTGCGGTGTGGATAAGGTCCTATCTTCCGCAGCCCAGCGAGAGATCGCTGTGCTCTCTGCCAACCTCTACTTTGTCCTGAACGGAATCCCGGGTGAGTGTGCAGCCATAAACTTTGATGCGCTGAACAAGTCCGAAGCCCCAATGGATTTTGAAGTTGTACCTTTGAACTCCATGTTTTGACCGTTGCCCAGGCTTGCTTGAAATTCGGGTGTGCTTAAATGAACTTCATCATTATTGTTTAAGGCTGAAATTTGTTTAATTCTTAAATGCCACATTGTCATTGATTCTGAGTCCTTGACCATTTCTGGATCCCTTTGATAATGTCTGATATGGCGCAGTTTGTATGTTAAGAAGTAAAAATCAGATTATGCGACGACAGTGTACATGTACCGTGCAAGCAGGTGCATAAAATGTATGAACACATAAGAAACCAATATTAATTTTGCTTTGTGACATAGAAATGTTTTTTTCACACCAGGTTTTAGCCTTACACCAATGTTTGCACCGGTGAGCGGGAAGTCCTGCATTCTAATCCCACTTGAGTAGATGTGTGCTTTGTTTATGAATCTCGAGCCAAACTCAGAATATAGTGCCAATATACATATATATGTATACAGTTCTGTGAGGGTGCAACCTGGTATGAAAATAACATCAGACATTCTAAACTTGATTTGTAAATGTTTGCGTGATCTCGTCAGGGAGTGGTGCATACAAGATATTCCATCTGCTGGTATTTCAAGAGGCAGTGGATCTCCTCAAACAGTGGCCTGACCCAGGTGAGTATGAGAACCCAATTCAGAACAATTACTGATTCCATCTTTTTGTGCAGTGTGAAAAAAGCCTTTTGTCCTCACTGTCGGATTTTTTCTATCTAGCTGGCATCACACTTTCCTGTTTGCTGTGGAGTATTGTGCTAGTTGGATAGGGTACATGTCACAAACCTCATGCAATCTGACCAATCAAAAACCCTGTTCTTGCAGTCCGCAAAGGACTGTGAGTGTTTCCATGACACAAGGTGCTTTTCTCAAATATTGGAGCATACCGAACAAAACCCCCGACTGAAAAGTTCTGTTTGCAAAAATTTGATTGGCTGTGCAAAGAAAACAATAAAAGACATCATCTATACATGTACATTCCAAAACATGTTTGTCCCGATGCGATAAATTCATAGTTGCCAACTTGAGATATATAATGTTGAAGTTGGACAAACATTTTTGTATTTTGGCGATGACTACCAAAACACAGTGAGTAAGGGCATGGGAAAGGTCACTATGCCCATATAGAGAAATTCTCTTGACTGATGATTTCACCCTCTGTAACTCCAGTGCAGAAAGGAGTACTGTAAACCATGACTGTAAGTGTTGGAGGAAATTATTGTAATGATTTGCTAAATTCGGATTGAGTTTTGCTTTGTCGCATTCCGATGAAATGAGTATCAATGTCCACCCAGCAAATGGGAAACGAAAGAGAAATGCCTCTGGTGCGTGGTCCAGCCAGGCCTCCCAGGGCCGCCGTCCCACCAAGACGAGACGCGTGGATGAGAGAAATGAAGATGGTAGCGCCGAGAGGATAACGCCGCTTGACAGCGACGACGATGATGAAGACAATGACGAGATCACCATCCTGACTCCCCAAGAAATCGGCCGAATCAAGTTGGCAGTGCTGGGGGCATTGCGGGTGAGTTTACTAGTTTGGAAGGAGTTCCGTATTCGGCCAGCACGTGCTTGTACTCATCACCAGATTGGGAAAAACTGAACTAGTCTGAGGGAAGTTACTCTTCGGACATAATTTTTAAACTGCGCCATATTCATGAAATTCTAGATCTTTGGTGAGCAGTTATGGAACTCTTGCCACCAGTTTATTATCCCAGCCGTCATGGTCTGTAGCAATAGTCACTCTGAATTTTCTTTCTTGTTGTAACAAAAGTTGCCTTTTATTTGAGTGTAGGTAGTGTTTTATTTACGTGTAGGATTGTTTTGGTATATTGTGAATATTGTAGTTGTAGTGATATTTTTTTTTCAAGATAACGTTGGGGGGAAGAATGAGCTGTAGAATTTGAGATCCGTTGTTGGGAAAGCTCTTAATGGACGGGTCATTCAAGAAATTAGGGGTCCATTTCTTTTTGTGTCCTTGTTACATCTGACATACGATTTCGTAAGTTTAGAACACATTTTCTAATTTCCAAGAGTGATGAATTTATCGAAATTTCCTGCCAATCAAATAATTATAGTCTAAAATCAATTCCGGTGATATTTCCATGTCAAATAGCAAAGGTCAGATTTTGTATTACTTTTATCAACATGACGTTTCAATTCCACGTTCCCACGCAGGATTTTGTCCACCTCCTGCGAAATTCCACCCTGAAAGATGCTGAGCAGTCTACCCAGCATGCAATGCAGGTGCTGTCAGACTTGACCCGGATCACAGGAGACCAGAGCGAAATCGAAGAATTCGATTCCACAGCGTAAGTTTTTTGTGTAAGCTGTTAGGAGAGCCCAAGATGCCAGTCACATGGCTGTGGCCAGTGAAAGCACAGAGGTCAGTGGGAAGTAGCTGTAGTCACCAGGCAGCGGCTTCCACAGACTTGTGTTACTTGGAGACACAGCCACGTAATTAGGACACGGTTAACCACTACCAGCCGGGGACTCCGAAATCGGAGCCGTATGGTTTATATGTGTGGCCGGGGTCTCCGAACTCGGACAAAGGAAACATGGCCCTGTAACAAAAGACCGTTCTCTGAACAAAAGACCAGGCTGCTGGGCATTACCGGAACTTTTCACTCTCAAAAGTGGTGATAATCCAGC